ACGGAGGTGCCAGGTTGTGAATGGCCTTGAACGTTAAGAGAAGGGTTTTGGATTCAATACGAAACTTGACCGGGAGCCAGTGAAGCTGCAGCAAGGTGGGTGTAATGCTGTGGAGGGGTGGTGTCCTGGTAATAATCAGAGCGGCCGAGTTATGAATGAGTTGTAATTTGTGAAGGGTTTTTTTGGGGAAGACCAAGGAGGAGGGAATTACAATAATCCAATCGAGACGGAACGAGACTATGAACAAGAATAGCAGCAGCCTGGGGGGTGAGGGAGGGGCGAAGACGGTTGATATTACGGCGATGGACATATGCAGACCGGGTGATATTATTAACATGGGACTGAAAGGAGAGGGTACTATCGAAGATGAAGAATTTATTCACGGTAAGAAAACAATGTGTCAAGGAAGTCTTATACGTGTAGTCTGAGGGGTTTAGAACTAGCCCTTCTAAGGTCTTTATAATGCTAAATACCAGTGCCACTAGTCTGAAGTCACTGGGGGTGCTTGGGAACTATTCAGATGGTTTTCAAATTGGGAGGGACCTTTTGTACCTGTAGGGACAGATTCTGAAAAAACTCTCCCATCTGATACTGTATGTACAGGCTCACAGCATTCCGGAGTCAGCTACCTTTTCATCATGCCAATGCTATTCTAACTCTGTTATAATCTGACCATCAGAGATAAGGAGGACTGTTAGTGAAGGAACAACATAAACTTATTGTGAAAGGTACTTATTGTGAAACTTATTGTGAAAGATGGATTCTTGACTGTGATTTTTTTTTGTTAAAACAGGTTAAACTTGTCTGCCTTCTGCTGATTTCCAGTTAGGAGGAAGAACAGTTCAATATCTAGAGAGCAGATTTGTTCTTTCCCAGTAACATGCTTTGTGTTACACCGTCCAGGAGATAACAGAAAAGGCTATCCCACCTGATTTTGGTTTCAACTTGTTGATTCCAGTCGGCATGCAAAAACTGCTAGAACTGCTAGAAAATCAGCAGTTTAGTCAGCTGATCTCATGACAACAACTTAATTGAATCACAACTAAACTAACAACCATTCACCAGTCTGCATTAATTAAGGGGGCAACACTGGACAGAGTGGACAGTTTTGACACTTCATCCTGTTACGATGATAACTCAATAAGTTTTATGAAATCTCTTTCAAACTTTGCAAAGGAATTGTATGGGTGCCAGACTGCAACTGACTATTTTTTAAGACAGATCAACTCAAAATTCAATTTATTTTTATATAGTGCCTTTCACAACAGTCGAACCAAGGTGCTCTACATGGGTGTATTCTGATACATTCCTGCATCATTTATACAGAATAATTCAAAAACAGTGTAAAGGGAGACCAGGAAATGGAATAAAGCCAGATTACAACAGAGGAGAGGAACAAAGAAAATAGCCTTGAGCCTGCACAAGCTTCTCTCTCAACTGTGCATACACAGGTCAGCCATAACATTAAAACCACCTGCCGAATATTGTGTAGGTCCCCCTTGTCATGCTCAAACAGCTCTAACCCATTGAAGCATCTGCTCCAGAAGTCCTCTAAAGATGTCCTGTGGTTTTTGGAACCAAGATGTTAGTAGCAGATCTTTTAAGTCCTGTACATTGTAAGGTGGGACCTCCATGGATTGGACTTGGTTGTCCAAGACGTCCCACGGATGCTTGATCAGATTGAGATCTGGAGAATTTGAAAGCCAAGTCAACACCTTCATCTGTTTTTCATGTTCCTCAAACCATTGGCATTGATAGGTCTGATCACCAGGAACTTCAGTATTTTTAAGCCTATCCCCAAGTATTTTCACATTCAAAAAGGGAGAAAGGCCTGTCTACAGATCGAAAAAGCAGATGTTATAGCAACATAGACTGTGTAACAGAGCGGAACTTGACTTGCAACATCCAAAGGATGGGGGAGTAATCAAGCACTACACAGTGCACAACGAAATTGAACATTGCATGCACCCAGATGAAAAGTTCCCATTTTAAAAGCCTGTGTAGTCTTCTTAGCTATTTTAAGAAGAAATAATGCTATAATGACAGCTTTACAGATGTTTCCTTCGGGAATCTTGAGTTAATAGAAGTAGACTAAACTGTGTGCGCATGTACATGCATGTGTATCTTACGAACTTTTAGTTTCATTTGATTGCATGTACTGTTTAGTTGACTATATCTAAAGTAGACTTAGTTGACTAAATATCCCATTATTTTTGTCGACAAACTAGACTAAAACAACAAAAAATCAGGTGACTAAAACATAAGTAAAACTAAGCTGTGTTTTCGTCAAAGGACTAAGGCTAAACCTAAATCGAAACATGCTGTGAAAATTAACACTATGTGAGCGAGACAGAGAGAGAGAGACTTGAAAGATATTTATATGATCATATATCCATCCATCCATTATCCAGATAAAAGAACAAACTGGTATGTGCAAATGCCGCATGTTTCCGAGAAAAATGTATTAGCGAGTATGTTTTCTCAAAGCCTTTTACAGTAGATCTGAGAGTCGTCCAGGGAGGTAAACCAACATTTGAATCCTCAGGCTGCAGTTACAGCTGCATTCTTTGGCCAGTATGCCGTGCATCATTCCATTCCTTCTGTTACATCATACCACTCAGGTTTGTTTGTTTTTGTTTTAATAGTTACCCGAAACCAAACTCTTGCATTGTTTGCCTATTCATCCTTTGAGAAACTCCAAAGAGATCTGCTATTTCTTGCGCCTTTACTTCACAGAGCGCGTCCAGACGATGCTTAGTCGAGACCAACCTTGCATTGGCCCTGGTCCGGAACATAAGCGATGTACTACTTTGCATAAATTTTGCCATACAACAGCATTTATTTCTATGTCATTGACAGCTTCAATGTCTACAATCCCATCGAAGATGACTTTGCATCTTAGTAATATAATTCTCAGTCAGCTCCTCACTGTTTCTTGCTAGAAGGTGCATTCCATGACTCCTACTGTATTATCAATTTTAGTAGTATTAGCCCCGCCCACTGCCCCACTCCAATTTATGTATATATCCATGTTGTGAACTTGAAAATGAAAAGTCAAAGTGGGAAATGAAACATCAAAGGGCAGCAGATGGAGCCAGGGCTCATTCGACTGTGGCCTTTCATTTTTGCAGCATCAGTGCTGTTCATGCTGAAAATTAAAATCCAAACTGGGACGTTGCTATTGATTTATCTATTGAGAGTTTTCTTTTTTATTTTGGCAGGGATATGTGCCTGCAAGCCTGCAGAAAAGAA